TATATATATACTGCATTTCCCCTGTCTGTTCAGTTAAACATGTTGAATCCACTTTTAGCTTCTTTTGGGTAATTTTAGCTACATTTTTTGTTCTTCTCAGATTTTTTAAAATCTTTTTGCTATGTTTCTACTGATGTTTCGCTTTCGCTGTCTTACTATCACCATTAGTTAGATATTCAAATTTAACTTAAACCTTTTCAGTTTCTTCAGCAGCTTTCAGCTAAATTCTTTCAGCATTAAGCATTCACACTGGGAAAATGCAACTTATTTAGTTAAACTTGGTCCTTGATTTGGACCAAGATAAAATATTTGTCCTTCTTGTGTGGCTGAGTTTAACACCCCCCCCCCCCTCCCCCATAAATGGTGCCACATTTGTTACGAAACATTTCTGTGTTGAGCAGCAGAGCAGAACATATGCGGGTTGCTTTCCAGTTCTTCTCTGCCAATTAAAAAAAAAAAAAGAAAACAGCTCCATCTGTCACTGACTGATGGTTTTGGTGTCATTTATGGGATTTACTGCAGAGATTAGACATGTTTTTCATGGGTGTAACCCACACCCTCTGCTGCTCAACCCGCAAATGTTTTTTCCCAATTATTATTATTATTGCCAAGAAGCTTTGTTGCAACAACACATTAACATTAATTTACTTATTTTTGTGCTTAGTTTATACCCGCATTTGTCTATTTATGGCACATATAGAAGACTAATGATCACTGATCAGTAGTGGCAATAAATAATTGTTTTTCTGACAGCCAGCCTGTTCTTTTGGCATTTAAAAACAACACTGTCGTTCAATGATAATTCCAAACAAGTCAAACACAAGTAGAGTGGTTGATTTGACCTCCCTCTACCTTGAACTGTACGAACTGAACCAGCAGAGTTTGACAGCTAAGGGTAAAACAGACCCAGTACTTTGTCACAGAAGAAGAAAAGATGAGGTAAATGACATCTTTGCGTTTCAGCTAACACTTCATTTTCACCTGTGTTGGGTTTTTACTGACAATAATCCGTTCAGGTTACTAAACTCAAACTATGCTTGTGTTACCTTTAACATCATCTGTACTTTTTTATTTTCTCAACAGAATTATGAAGTGTTCGTCATAAAAACTGTGAAAAGAATGATTTGGAACGTGAGTGACTTCATTATGCTCACATTAACCTATGTGAGATTGGAGACTACAGGTCAGAATGATCAGAAGACATGCCGACTTCGTCCCACTCTGCATTTTGATCGGATTAATTACTGGGAAACCAGATGAGTTTGTTCTTATTAATGACTGTATTTGTCAGCTGAAACAGCTGGAGAGTTTCTGTAAGCCTGCTGAGGTTTTATGAAAACGGTTTCTCTGCTGAGACTTTTTTTTTTATTTCAGAGAAAATACGTTGTCGTCTGGTCGTCGCTTCACAGCTGAGTTCTTATTTTCTGCTTCTCAGCCTCCAGTAGAAACACATTATTATGACCATCCTAATCCTTTTTTATAAAACAATCTCTTATATGAACAAAAAAACAACAAAGTAACAGTTTACCAGCAACTGTGAGAAAAAAACAACTAATCTGTCCCTTTCACTTCTGTACATAAAGTGATTTACTGAGATTAGGCTTTTTAAAGGTACCTTAAAGGTGGCGACATAACAGCTCAGAGAAGAGTCACCCTGATAACAAATCCTGAGGCGAAGAAGTGAAAATAAATGCATCTCTCTCGTTTCCTTCCCTCCTCTTCTTTTCCTCTTTCGCCTGCGTCTGTCAGACAGAGCTTTCAGAGAGGGGATGTTGACTGAAACAGATCCAAAAGGAGAAGTCGGCCTTTGTGAAGACTGGCCCAGCACAGTGTTTTGGACCCTGTCAACACGCCAGCACATGTATGGCTCATGAGAGTGTGTGTGAGAGGGAGATAAAGGGCGACTCTGTGACAGCTGGAGACAAAGAGGCCGTTCAGGCCTCAGCTCGCTCTTGATCAGAGACGGAGTCGCTGAGGTGGCTGGGCGGGGGGCTGAGGTCTGAGCCAACGCCGGACTCAGAGGAGGGGCCCGACAGGTTGGTGCTGAGGCAGTTCAGATTGTCTGTGGGGTCGGGGGTGGAGGCGAGGTGGTTGAGGTTGGGGGTGGGACTGGAGTGGCTGCTGCTGTTGGCCACACGTCGGTAGACGAAAAGGAAGGAGGTTGCCTCCGGGCGGCTGTGGAGCTCAGCTTTTATCTTCTGAGGGTGGGTGTCCGGGGCCAGCTGCTGGCTGCTGCCCTCCATCTGCAGGAACAGGCCATAGTTCTCCGGGTCTGACACCCTGAACTTGAGGGCGCACAGCTGACACACGTCCTCCACCGTGGCATGAGGTCGGACCTGCAGAGTCTTGGCTGTGCAGCCGCTGTTCAACTCCTGCAGAGCCACTCGCAGGTAGTTCTGAGGGGACAGGTAGAAGAAGTGATAAGGTACAGATGGACTACTGACCTGAAGACTAAAGCTAAACTCATAATGATCGTTCTAATCATTAACTTTGAAACTAAAGGCTGAGTAAGCACAGAAGAAAGGCTGTAAACAACTCGCTGCCATATCAAAGTGTTCTATAGAGCCTGTTAGTGGCGTCACAAAGACTATAATGGAGGGCAATGTATCATGCATTGTCTACAGCTATGTACATTATCAGGGCTTTGTACTCAGAGTTACCTCCGCCAAGGGCGAGGTAATGTTTTCGGTCGTGTATGTCTGTCTGTCTGTCTGTCTTTCTGTCTGTGGACAACATCACTCAAAAACTTGACGGATTGTCATGACATTTTTATCACATGTGGATGCTGGGCCAAGAAACACAACTTTAAATTTTGGTGATGTTCTGGATCACGATGCGGATACAGGATTTCTTTTTCTTTTAACACTCTGAGATCGGCAAAGCTGTGATGCTTTCACAGGGCTTCTGTAAAAAAACAGTGAGCTGGATTGGACAGCACGGACTTCAAACTTTATAAAAGTAATGTTAAAACCGCATTTTGGGCCTAATGATGAATTTTTTTTGCCATAATATGCGCATTTACAGAACGTTTTGTGACCAGGAAGTGTGTGACTGCACCATGAAACCTATTTTTCCCATTTCCTCAAACACACCACATTTCCCAAACAACCAATCAAAACAGTTTCTTGCTACTAAGCTTGTAAACAGAGAGCTGCCGGGCCTCAAAGTTTGGAGACGGGGGGAGCCAGGAAGCACTTTATAAAGAGAGTCAAACCATTACAAACTCATACAAGGAGATAAAACAGACGTTTTACATGGTGAAATGTGACTGATGAAAACTTAGGAGCTTAATCCGACACCAGTTTGATGAAGAATAAGGTTGGGTGACAAGTCTGACTTTTTTTTTTCACATTGGACTCTACCAAGAAGTAATTCAGTGCATACTGCCTGCTTAAATGTTCGCTACGCCAGAACTTATTCGGCAAATGTGTTTCCATCTCTGCTTTTGCGCATTAACTCTTACAGGATGGGGGGAAATGGTCTTGGCGGAGGTTTGCACTCTCCGAGTGCTTCTAGTTGATAATATTCTTAGGTAAAAGCTAGAGCAAGATCACGGTACCACACGAAATATTGTGTTGTGAGGTTTGAATCCAGACACTTGAGTCACCGTACCTCACACAAACCTAACAAAGCTCACCATCAAAATTTGGTTGAAATCTCAGTGTGGGACCTTGTAGGGAGGCAGTCGGGGGTCTGTGGAGGTGTGGTAAGTGTGTAAGCTCAGACTAGAGTCTGATTCAGGCAGAGAGTTGACCCACAACAAACAAAGCAATGTGTCTTTGGACAAGAAACTGAGAGGAACCTTACTCAGACAGCTCGAGAGCTCGAAGGAAAGCGATGGCCAACGATCCTCACTTTGTTCTGGATGGATTTCAGTGACATTCTTGTCATTTTGTTCTTTGAATCCTGTTCACACCTAGCTGTTATCAGTTGTTATAACACAAACTTTCATCCCTCGTTTTCTCTCAGACTAAGTAAACCTCCATAACTTACAACCACTGAGGTGAACTCTGTTGTCAGGTTGAGCTCCAGCTCCAACCAGGAGTAGCTTTGTTAAAGGCTAACAAGTAAAACATTAATTTTAAATGTCTCCTACACCGTTGTCCTTTGGAATTTATGTTTGTGACAAATACCTGGCAGAGTTTCTGTGCATCAAGATATAGACTGTACCTAACAATGTTTTTCTGTCTATAGGTCACTTGATTTGCTAATGTAAGTTAAATATACCTCATATGTCTGTGTGTGTTAGTGTGTGTGTGCTTGCACTCACCTGAAAGTCATCAATAGAAGGTGCAGAGCGCTGGGTGGTGCGTCGCCGGTGCCACTGGCGCAGCGTGTCTTTGGTTTCGGAGCTCAGGACTCTGGCTGCCTGATCCTCCTTGAAGTTCTTGATCAGCGACATGGCTCCATAGGCAGTGGTCAGGTAGTAATCACCTAGACACAGAAGCAATGATTATTTTAGCTACTGCAGGGTTTTCACTTTTTGATCCGAGTGAAAAAAAGCTTATGGTTGAGTTTGATCAACAGGAGAGGCACCTTCTCCGTGCAGCAGTGAGGGGTCCAGCAGCTCCATCATGTAGAGTATCTCTGTGTCCAGCCCAGGCATGTCACACTGGGCCAACACGTACGTCAGCATTGGCAGGAAGTCATCAGCACCGTACAAACGACCTGAGATGAAAACGAAGCCCTTCAGGCTCAATAAACACTAAACATGTGTGAACAGTCTCATCAGCGTGTGAACGGTAGAAACTCGATGCCCTTCTACCTGAATTGTCCTCCATGATGGTGTAGATTAGTTTGCAGATTTGCAGCAGGATGGTGACCTTCTTCTCCGGGTTGTACAGTTTACACATGGCCTCAAACTTCTTTTTGATCTTCTCGATGGCCACAGAGTCAGGGGGCAAGGCATCAGTCACGCCTATTTCCTGTGGCAGCCGGGCTTTGTACAAACACAGGTTCTCTTTGAGCTCCTGCAATGCGCCACTGCGCTCCTGAAACTCGTGCAGCGCCGCGCTTAGCACTGGCTTCAGGGGCTTCAGGACACACTTCAGCATGGCCTTCTCCAGGACCTGGTCTGAAGAGAGACGGACACTGTTGAGACTTTGCAACTATTAACAACCTTCAATTCAGATTATTTGTACAGCACAAAATAGCATTTTAGAGAGTCATACAAAAAAGAAATATATATGTATATTTAAAGAAGTTGAAAGTTGTCGAAAGAGTTGAAAATAGATCACACTCCATAATTATGTTGACAAGAGGCTATTCTGTTTGAATTAGAATTATAATTTTAAATGTAACTAACAACATAAATTGGTTAAATTAAAATAAATTGGCTATTAATTTTGTTGTATAGCACTATAATGTTAATATGAAGTTAATTGAAGTTTTGAGACATTTTAAAATGTTTTTTTATTCCGAAACGCATCTGACGCTTGACGGTTGGGGGGTGGGGGGAGTGCGTGACCGCTCCTCTGAATAAGTGAAGCCTATGTAACACAGTTGTTTACACTGAAATTAAAAAATATCTGAACAAAGAAAAACTGGAGCAGGACTACAGAGAGAGATAAATATTATTTAGATTTTTATTTCTGTGACTGTACGACCCATGGGAGACACGACATTAACAGCAGTCCTCATTTAATTCCTCGGCTTTAAAGCAGCTCCTTTAATTCTACAGCTGAAGTAGGGTTGGGCAATATTGGCAAAAAAAATAAATCACGATTAATTGTGGTATTTAGCCGATAACGATTAATTTGACGATTAATCTCCTGGAGTCCCTGGACACCCTTATTTCATAGTCACATGACCAATTTAGTGGGAAAGATTTGCTCTTCATAAAAATCTGTTCCAAATTGTGTCAAAATTACAGACTTCAGGCTATACATCAAACTTTAAATTGTGTTGATAGATGTAGTGGTCACCCTGGGTGGAATAAACGTTCCACTTGCCTTTGACCTTGACCACGGAAGGCCTCCTTTAAAGAACAGAACTCTGTTCAATTTTTATGGTCATAACATGTTTTCTTAAACAATTAAGGGACATTTTATTTCATTTTATTCTCTATAATCAAGATAATAAACAAAATAGTAATGTTCTTTATATGTTTTGACTTTACATATTTTACTTAAGCAAAAGTTATTTCTTAATTAAAGTTATCATTTTAAAGTTAAAGTTATATGCTTAACTGAATGACAABTTATGTTCTTCTCACTATAACCAGAGAAAAGAAGAAAATCACAAAGATATCATTTTAATGTTTATTTTGTGTATGTTAATCAACCATTATTTGAYTATAAGGTGATTATGTTTTTCTATTTTTGATTCACTATATAAGTGTATGATTTTCTGCTTATGTAAAACAGAGGTTGGTGTGAGAAGTTTCACTAAAAGCTGAGAGTTAACAGAAGAAACTTTGAGCATGTAAAACAGGGGTTATTTTGTCTAGGAGGCAAAGTTTCCCATGAGAACTCTACGCTCCTTTAACTTTCTGGTTCACACCTGTTAACACCAAGGTCGACCAGAGACGACTCCCTCTACCTCCCCTCTCCTATCTTTTCTATACTAACACGGGCGAAAGTCCGGCAGTCTTCTCTAGTCCCGGTCGACAGCAGTTCAGTTCGAGCGGAGTCTGACGCGGGTCAGACTCGGGGAACTGTCTGGGCTCTCCCAGCAGAGAGCAGAACCTTGTGGTGAAGGTTTTAGCTCAAGAGCTAAAGAGCTAATCTTCCCACTAGCCTAACGACAACGCCAGTCGTGGGCGCCCAGCACCTCTCTTTGAAGTTGAGACTCCAGAGAGACGCTTTGTTTTTTAATCTGAAGAAGCCGAGCGACGGGGTGTCGGCTTGACACGGAACCGGACCGACCCAGATAATCAACTTCCTGGAAGTCGAGTCCAAAGTAGTCCTGAATGGTCCTAAGCGGGTCCCAGAGGTCTGAAACCTGGACACCTTCTAAGCTTACCTGACTGACGTCTGAAAAGGTAAAGCTGAACGTTGATTACAAAGTGTCGAGAAGTCCTGGCTGTGTCTCTAAAGACCGCTCCATCCTTCTGGCTTTTTACAGTATTGATAAGATAAAATCTAGTTCACTCTCCCTAATAACTACTTTTCTACCTAAACTTAACTTTTACTTCACTCTTACTAAGAATTTGCCTCAATTAGGTTTATTTAACATCAAAGAACCTTGTTGTGTCATATAAGTTGTCAAATTAACGAGATTTAACCCTTTTTAAGAGTTAATGGTTGATTTAAACTTATGTAAAACCCTTATCCATCTTCCAATGAGTTTGTATGTAAATAATTGTTTTGTAAAATAAATATCATTTATTTTTAGATAAACTTTATTGACTACGATACTCATTGTCAAAGTCTTGGTCATAATAAAGGTGATGGTTATTATTATTAGTATTTAAAATCTTAAAGAACCCGTTTCCTCATGTATTAACTATATTAATATTAGTCGATATTAATTAGGTTAAATATGAGAAGTTATGTTGGAGTATCCTCTACATAGATAACTAAATTACAGAACTTTTTTTAATGTTCGTCATATTTGAAGCTGACAGGAGCAGCGAGCGGATTCTACCTGTTGGCATTAATCGTATTAATTGTCAAGTGCCATAAATTAATTGATTAATGTTTTTCTGACGATTAATCACACACGATACGATTATGCCCAACCCTAAGCTGAAGTGACTTTTTTTTGTGGATCTCTGAGAGCAAAACTTTAATCTCCAAACTCGTAAAGTTCTTCTTTTCTACTTTGCGATGTCACTTATGAATGGACACTTCCTTGTACGTGGGCTAGGAAACGTTTATCCTTATTTGGTGTTTTTTGGGGTGGTAATTATGTAAATCACCTCTCCCCGTGCACGAGCACCTGATACGCATTCAGACTTTTCCTGAAGATAGTGTGTTGAATCTGACGTGACACGTTTGTACGAACCCTTCGTATGAACAAAAGTAAGAGAAATTTAGGATAAGAATACGAACATGTTCTTGCATGAGGCCCAATGAGTAAAAGTTATTTAAGGAAGCCAACAGATTGCGTCAGATCTTTACTTCATTGTGTACTTCCATCATGAGCAGCACACTGGTGACAGTGGAAAGGAATTATTTTAACAGGAAGAAACTTCAAACAAAACCAGACTCAGCAAGACAGCAATGAAATTAGGAAATGAGATCAGTTCGTCCTCCAGTAGTCTAAGCCTATAGCAAAAGAACTATGGAATAACTCAGGAAACCAACCCTAATTATAGAATTTATCAAAAAGGAAAGTTTTTATGTCTAGCCTTAAAAATAGACAAAGTGTCTATGGAGGTATTTTTTTTAATTCAATCAAACAAAAAAGCAGTTTCAATTAAAACAAGGTAGAGGTAGTCGCTTCAGTTCCCACTAACCAATAGGGACACGTCTTAGTTCCTCCTTAGGCCCCACTCAGGATGTTTATGTTCTCTGAGTTCTAAAACTGAGTTCAAACAAAAACTTAGTGTCAATCAAAAGTTTGAGATTCAAAACCAATGATTTCAGATGTGCAAAAAAAATACTGTTTTGCAAAAAACTTTTTGATTGAATTCGTTAATTTTTTTTGCAAGGCTGTAATTTGTGGACTTTAGTTCAGCCTTTAATACAGTCATTCCACAGAAACTTGTCAAAAATCTGAATGATCTGGGACTAGACAGCTCACTATGTTCATGGATAGTGGATTTCCTGAGCAACAGACCCCAATGCGTCAGGATGGAGGATCAAACATATTCGACCATCATCTTAAACACAGGTACACCGCAGGGATGTGTTCTTAGCCCCCTTCTCTACTCACTTTTCACATATGATTGCTCCCCCATCCACTCCTCCAACTCCACAATAAAGTTTGCTGATGGCACCACCATCGTAGGACTGATCGCGGACAACAATGAATCAACCTATAGAGAGAAGGTCCAGCATTTGATAACGTGGTGCAAAAATAACAATCTTTATCCAAATCCGTCTAAAACCAAGGAGATGGTTATAGATTTCAGAAGATCCATGCGCACTGAGCCTACGGCTCTTCATATAAATGGAGTGGAAGTTGAGAGAGTGGAGTTTTCAAGTTTCTGGGGGTGCACATCTCAGCTGACCTCACTTGGGCTTCCAACACCCGACACTTAGTTGGGAAAGCACAACAGAGACTGTACTTCCTCAGGAAGCTTCAACAGTCCCACCTCCCCCTACGACTGCTGGTTAACTTCTACAGGGTCACCATCGAAGGTATACTGGCATACTGCTGCACGGTTTGGTTCACCAGCTGTACAGCACAGGATAAGCAAAATCTGCAGCGAGTGGTGAAAGAAGTGGAAAAATCGTGGGCACGTCACCCCCCCACCCCCACGAGCGATATCTATATCAGCCGACTCCAGAAAAAGGCTGTCTGCATTTCAACAGACTCTACTCACCCTGGTCATTCTTTGTTTTCTGCCCTTCCGTCTAGGAGGAGGTTCAGACAATTAAAAATAAAGACTAACAGACTGGGACATAGCTTTTATCCTCAGGCTGTGAAAGCTATCAAACCTTCTCCTCAGCTTTGACAAACCTGCATCTGAGACCACCTGCGACCGCGCAGCGCTGGGGGGTGTACGGTGCGCAGCGCTGTAGCTTCTTAATAAATGAAAATGATTTAACACAGTTGTTTATACTTTTAGCAGCTCTTTTTATGCCACAGCTGAACTGCTAAAAATGACAGATTTTCTTTTCTGGATCTCTGACAGACGGACTTCAATCTCTGAACTCGTAAAGTTCTTCGTTTTCATTTTCGCTGTCATTTTCATGAATGAACAATTCCTTGTCTGAGGCAGGAAACATAGCCTTATATGGTGTTTTTGGGGTGGTAATTATGCTAATCTCCTCTNGGGTGAGGGTGCTAAACTCATTTCTTTGTTTAACACTGCTTTAAATAAATGATAATAAAGCTTATTCTATTCTATTTGTACAGATATATTCTTATTTGTTTAGAGGTTAAATGTTTTTAGTGTAATTTATTGTTTTTTTTAACTACCTAAGGGTGAGGGTGCTAAACTCATTTCATTGTTTAACACTG